CTGTGTTCTTGGCATGTGTCAGCTTGTTTGGTTTTGGGGTCGGGGGTGCGACAGCTGGCGAAGCAGCCATGGTCTGGTTTCTGGATGGTGGTTGTCCTTTGTTCATAGGATGGGTTTGGGCCTGGGTCTGATGAGGGGGATTGGCGGTGGTGTCCTGTGTTGTTTTGGGTCTGGTGTTGGTTTTCATGGCTGGGACTCGTTTGTTGGTGAGGGCTAGTTTCCAGATGTCTGGTAGGTGGGAGGTATCGTCCCGTTTATTCATGTTATGGGGGTGTTTCTCTATTTCGATGGCTTCCCTGATTATTCTCTTGCTGGAGTGTTCAGTGTTGGATATTAATTTGGTTCCTTCAAAATTAATTTCATGTCCTGTGGCTTTAAGGTGCTGGGAGAGGAAGGAAGTATTTTCTTCTTTTCTGACTGCGTTTTTGTGTTTTGCGATGCGTGCATTTATTCTCCTGTGGGTTTGTCCAATGTATGTGGCTGGGCAATTGTTGCATGGTATTTTATAAACTCATATACATATACATACATACATACATATTTATTTTTTTATTTATTTTACTGGATGTACAAAAGAGTTTTATTAAGATTTTGAATAAGGCTCTTTGTGAAGGGATTAAGAATTAAAAGTATAAGGAAGGAATGCAACGTCAACTTATTCAACCAAGGTTAAGTAGTCCTCAACTTATAAGAGTTAGTTTAGCGACTGTTCAAAGTTACAATAGCATTGAAAAAGTGACTTATGACTGATTTTAACATGTACAGCCATTGTTGCATCCCCTGGTCATGTGATCAATATTCAGCTGCTTGGCAACTGACTCATATTTATTAGGGTTGCAGTATCCTGGGGTCATATAACCATCTTTTATGACCTTCTGATAAGCAAAGTCAATGGGAAAGCAGGATACATTTAAGAACTTGTCACTAACTTAACAACTGAGTGATTCATGCAAGAACTGTTGCAAGAAAGTTGTAAAATGGGGCAGAATTCACTTAACAACTGTCTTGCTTAACCATAGAAATTTGGGGCTCAATTGTCATAAGTTGAGGACTACTGTAGTTATATCCAATAACTCTTACTGGACTTTTGCTTATGAGGAATGAATGATAAGGATTTTTCCATTTTTATTTTTAGCTAAGAGATATGGGGTGAAAAGATTAGATGTTGTACAGTAACTTAAGAGATGGCACTAAGTTTACATCAATTTGGGTATTTGTTGGAATGAAGGGAGAAGTCCCTTTTTTCTTTTTCACACTATTTTTGTCTTTTCTTATTCATTTTCGTAGTTTGCTTAGTTTTTATTCTTCTCTATTGTAATTTCTAATACAATTTTAAAAAATAAGAATGTCCAGCCATCAATCCATTTTCAGCCCATTGCAATGTACAATTAAGACAAAAAAATTACAAGATTTTAAACTTAGATCTGCTGCATTTATATGGCTTGAGATTTCTAGTTTGTAACAGCTGCTTTACTTTATTGTTAGTAGTTTCTCTACTATCTCTCATAGCCCTCTTATCAAGAGCTGGGTCCTTGAAACTTTATGTGCAAGTCTTCTAGTGAACAAAGTCTCACAGTCACCTAAAGCAGAATTCAAGAGGAATATTCATCCACTCACTTTCCCTAGACATAAAAAAATCCCCTTAAAACATAGTCAATTGGTAACTTCATGGATGTGTTTATATAAGGGTTGTTGGATTATTATTATTTTGTTAGACAACAATACAGAAGTGGTTTGGCAATCTTTTGTCTTTTATAAAACAGTTTTCTCCAATCTATCAGCTATATACAAAGTGGCATTTTGTAAGCCCAAGACATCTGAAGGGAATCAGATTGAAGGAACCTATCTATCATGGTGCTGGTCAGAATGCACAAACCAAAAGTAGTCACAAAACACTGATGCTTCTCTCTTTTTACTTTATTTTCTCTTTGGAGTAAACTATGAACAATCAGAGGCTGCCAAAATTTTTGACTTCCTATGATTTTTCTCTATAAGAGAAAGAAGCTTCATTTTTAATGCCTACCTTTCATTCTCCAAAACTGTCTTTGAAAGGTAATCTTCAGAAATATTACAACTATGAACTTCCACTTTACAGTTTCCCACAAATATTTTGAAAAAGCAACTTGGTCATTTCTAAATGCTCTAAAATCATACTTCATGACATGTATCAGATTGGCTGACCTAAAGGCTTATTTTAAGAAAGGCACTCCAATTTTCTTCACCACTATAAATGTAAATATTTATGATGCTCTATATACTTTCCCCAAAGTCATCCTATTGTGGCACTTTTAAAATATTCAGGATTCCATTTACAATCTAAATTATTACCAGCATCTGAAAATAACTAAGATGAGGAAGATATTTACTGTCCTAAATATCTAGTAAGAAATAGCAAGGGGTAGGTAGAAAACTTGGAACTGCATGAATTTGACCACACAGGATGGGATATTAAATAAACAGATCAACAAATAAACTCTTAATGTTATTATTCCTGCACTCTACAACACATTAGAGGCATTTAGACTGCTTTGTAGAAATCATGTTAAATAGCTGTGTTCTCTTATCCACACAAAGAATCTTCAACACAGGCTGATCAGGAATGTCCAAACTGCATGGAACAGCTATTTTAGATGGCTTTCTCCAGACTAAAATATGTAGATCATATTTGTTTGGTTCAGGCATAGACACAAACCTAAGTGGTTAAGAATGTGCAGAACATAATAAAAGGCAACACTATTGGTGGCAATGTGTGCTGATGGCAACTAAGGAGAAGAAAAGGAATGTAACAGGTAGAAAGGATGTGCGTAGAGATGACAGGGCAGGAGAGATAGCTATGCCATGCCAGATTTCATAGTGATTAAGGTGCTGGGAAGGTCAATAGACCAAGTCAGGGTCTGCCCTCAACAGTTTGGTTGAACTTCAGAGCCACAGTATTCTTCAGTTCAAACTGATCAGTCCTAAAGATCAACCCTGACTGCTCTTTAGAAAGCCAGATCCTGAAGATGAAACTCAAATACTTTGGCCACCTAATGAGAAGGAAGGACTCACTGGAGAAGAGTCTAATGCTGGGAACGATTGAGGGCAATAGAAGAATGGGATGACAGAGAATGAGGTGGCTGGATGGAGTCACTGAAGCAGTCGGCGTGAGCTTAAATGGACTCTGGGGGATAGTAGAGGACAGGAAGGCCTGGAAGAACATTGTCCATTGGATCACGATGGGTCAGACACGACTTCGTGACTAACAACAATTCTTCAGTTCGAAACAAATTATAGCCTGCATCTCAGGCAGAGCCACATGGCAGATATTGTATACAATTTGTTACTTGTTCCTCAATTTTGCTGTCATTTAAAGTTGAGCTACCATGGGGTTTATCATACTGGGGCTACCAGAATGAATGAATTAGTTTCCTGTGCCACTTTGCTGTTATTTAGTGCTGAGTCTTTCAAAGTATGTTCCACAAAATCCTACCATTCTGCAGGAACTTAATGAAATTCCATGAAGGACTAAGGACAACAAAGAATCATTCAAATACAGCCCATTTTCTATCACTAGAGATTTTCGTTTTCATCATGGGTTCTATATTTTGTTTTAAAAAAGTTTTGCAGCTAAAAGGATAAAACCATGATCCACAGATCATTTGAATTTTTGCAGTCCTACTGCTAGTGGTTGATTACATCTATCAATAGGTGTTTTAGTATCTTGCTGTTGTTCCGAAGGCTTTTACCTTCTAAATTATTTTAGTGATTCAAAATCTGTATTTGTTTCTCTACATTACATTACATGTCATAAATAATCTAACCGATAGCATGGAAGCAGGGTAGGCCATAGCAAAAATGAAAATAGTCAATGGAAGATGGATACGTTGCTTTTAAAATCTTGTATTTTCAATTCATTGATTCATTTACAGTATTGACATATCCACCCATCCTAAAAAGAACTATTTTATAGCACAATATAAAACAGTAAGTCTCAGAAAGATCCTAAGTACAGTAAGTGTTCCCAAATTAGTGTCCCAATTTTAAGAAATGCTTGATTTTTATTAATCCAAAATATTTTCTATGCTATATGGGATTGTCTTCTGATTATCTTATGGGTGTGGGATGTTACTGAGTTTATTCAAATGGAACATAATGGTGGAAAATAATCAGTTTAAAGTTATGCCTGTGTGGCATAAGCTACAGAAAGAGATAAAAAATGTCAGGATGATGCTTTTAAATGCAAACCACTGTATTCTTCTATGTTCAATTCACATTTCACATATAGAAGCCAGAGACCTAGTGTCATAACCCCAAAGACAAGAAACCATTATTCAAACCTATGTTCTGCTAGGATTTATCATATATAATCAGTTGTAAAACAAGAATTTAAAATCCTAGAGTTTAAAACATTTTACGGATGCCCAGCACAATTAAATCAAATGTCATGAAAATAAATTCTATCGCTCATCAGATTCAGGGATACTCCACCAGGGATCCATTTTTATTCTATTGACCTAGAATCAGGACCTACTTTGAAATCTCATAATAATGTAATGCCATTTTCACCTATCATTTCTCCCTGGAAAGCAAGGGAGAAGGGGAGAGGGTTTTCTATTTGAATTTCAAATAAGAGTGAGATCAAAGCAGGGCAAATCATTTCCTGGCTTGCAGGCTGATGCTGCATTATTATAGGCAAGGGATGAGTAAGCGCAATTCTGTTTCCAACTGTGTGAAGAATATGATCTGATTGGAATGCACCTCCGAATTAAAAGGCCCTTCTCTTAAGCAGCAGTCTTACCTGAATGGGGGCAAAAGGATTCTTTAAACATGCAACTTTCCCACCATTTTTCGTTTCATAGGTGAGGATTAATTCATCCCCATCCTGGAACCCCACTCGCAGGGGGAGGGGTAATTGATCCTTCCCCCCCCCCCCCCCCCCCCCCCCCCCGATCCTGAACCCCCCAGCTTCTTCAAGACGAGCCTCTATCCCTTCTGCTCCGTCTTTCCGGCACCGTACTAACCTTGGGCATTCTGATGTACTCCATGGCGACCAAATCTCGGTGCGTGGGATCCTCACGCACCTTACACAACCAAGGGAGAGCGATGCACCATCAAATACCCGTGCACCAGAAGGCAGAGGCAAAGAGGGGCAGGGGCGGAAGTGTTAGAGAATCGGGGAAAAAGTAAAGAGGAGTTGGAAAATCTTCACCTCTCAGATCGGATGTGGGGGGGGCGGTTTGTTGTGATGCTCGCAGGTCAGGGCCGGGCTCCGCCTTCTGCAGCGGCTGCCATGCTGCTCTTTTCAGGTTCGGGCATCAGTCAGAGCCGCCGGTCGCCCGGTTCGACAGACCTCCAGGCCCTAAAGACTGACGTGTTTAAGCGCAAATGCTGCGCAGGAGCTACTTTTTATATCATCATCATTTGCCATCTTGGTTCCCAAGTTGCTCATTCCTTGTCTGCCTCAGGCTGATAGATCTAATATTCCTTTTTCTGTCGCTCTCCCTCTCCTGGAGAAATGCAACCAGACATTTACCTGCTTGAACTTTACCTGACCTGCATTTCAGACTAGCATGTTGGGGGAAAGTAGACCACTAGGAGGTAATTCAGCAGGTGGAATGAATGCAGAAAATAGGCCTAATTAAAAAGCCATAGTTAGGTAAACCAAGTGCCTGCATGCCAAAGCAGCCAATATTTTCTTTTTATAGTTCCAAAGAAAACAAAAGATGTCTTCTAGAAATAGAAGACAACAGGATATTTTAAAAACAGGTAGAGCAAACTAACATAATAGACGACACATACAATTGTTTGTGGTATAATATACAAAATATAATAATACAAGTACAATTGATTGATTATGTGACATCAGGTCAGTGTTGACTCAGAGAGACCTCATAGATACAATTTTCTCTATGATGATGTCCTTAGCCTGGTCTCCCAATGGAGGACCCATCACCACCATAACTGACTCCATCCTCCTTGTTGCTGGTTGTCCTGTTCTTCTCTTTCCTTCCATCTTTCCCAGTATTACAGCCTTCTCAAAACAAAAAACAAAAAAACCGAGTCTTCACATAATGTATCTGAAACAAGGACAAAATAAATATTTTTAAAAATCAAATAGAACAATAGCAATGCAACAATAGGTTTGTCACTATAAAAATTGCTACACGGCCATTTTTAAATAATAGGTTGAAACTTGACACATGGAATCATATTGTCCAGGCCAAGCATTCACAAAATCCACCAGAGTTTACTCTCAAAAAAAGTAAAGGTAGTGGCTGCATGACTGAAGCTCCACAACCTTTTTATATGAGCCACAATGCATGTAAAAAGAAGCAGGATTTTATATATTGGTGGATATAATCTGGATTTTTCTTTTATCCCATTGCCTATGCCAATAAAGATCATAGCTGACCCATTTCATCAAATTGTCCTTTGCTATCTGGTACTTACAGTGTTTCTGGGGAAAACATAAAGCCTTTGGGGCAACAACCCATGATAAATCCAACGTTCTTCAGAAATACATTGATTTCAAATTTATAGAATATAATTTAACAACATATTAACATTCTTAAATCTGAACTTTTTCCAAGAATTTGGTTCACCATAGTAAGACTATAGTTAAAATACATATTTTAACGTTTACATTTTTATTGCATCTCTAATATAATGGTAGAAAATTGAATTTTTAAAAAGAACCATTGTTTTAAATTCATAAGAAATACAAAACTTAAAATGTGAGAACACTAATATTTTAATGTAGGCAACTCTAGTTCTCTATTACAAATTCTTGTATATTGTCCATATTTATTTTAGTAACTTTTTCAATTGTCATTAAAATTTAATTGTTGCTTTAGCCTCTAAAATCAACATTCAAAACCATAGGAGTTTGCAAGGCAGCCAATGTATCTGTTTCATCCCAAACAAAGGACAAATGTTTCAGCTGAATGTATTGCCATTCCGTTGTTTTTGGCAAATTATATTCTTTTTGTAACCTTTTGAAAGTTTATAAATCACTAGTGATTAGCTGATTAAAAGTAACTATCTCATTTTGAACCCATAATTTCCAAGAAAAGATTTTATTTGCCATTTTAAAATAAAAAATATTTTAAAGATTCAATTTCTTATGGCAACAGGATCTTTTTTAAAAATTTCTTACCCAATGTCACCCAAATATGTCTGCCTTCCATGTAACCAGATTGCTACTATACCTAGAAATTGCCAGGATTTCAAAGCTATCATTTAATAGTTCCCAAAGAGATCCATGATGGTAAACAAATAATAGAATGAGGGATCTTCAGAGGATGGCATGATGTAAAGGTTTTGTCTGTGGAGATTCTTAGTTATCCAGGTCATGGTTATCCCAAAAGTGCTTTTTCAAGAGGCAATTGGACTTTCTGGTTTTTCTGTGAAGATATTTTATTTCTCATCCAAGAGCTGAAAAAGCTTCTTGGATGAGAAGTGAAACATCTTCAAAGAAAAATCAGAAAGTCCAGTTGCCTCTTGGAAAAGCACCTTTGGGATGATATTAGGTTTTGGTTCTTTTCAAAACCCCAAAGAAATATTCTGGAAAATTCAAAGGAAAAATAAATGTGAAATAGGTGTGTGGCTAGGGAAATCAGCCTTCCCAAAGCCTCATTTGAAAATTGGAGACAAATAAAATCAAACTTCATATTTTAAAAAGTGGGGGAGGGAAAAATCTAAAATTTTCATTCTGGTTTTAAGTTCTCCTAAGTAAAACATTCATTAGCGAGAGAGATAAATTGTCCAAATCTTAGTAGCATCTGAAACAAATGTCCAATCAAAAAAAAGGTAAATATGAGGGCCTCATTTTATTATAAGTTGGTGCTATCTATTCCTATTTTAAAGGCAACTCCTGTTGCAGAGAGCTTCCCAATTACATAACATGTGCCATTTACTAAGCATGCACTAAAAGTACTAGAGAAAATACATTGGGCTGAAACACACAAAAAGAAAAGAAAAAATAATTATACACAGTATTTCTAGTGAATATTTTATTTAGTAGTCCAAATGCAGCTATTGTTTCTGAACCAGATTTCCTTCTATTCCAATTATTCTTGGGTGCCTTCCCAAATCCCCAAGGATTCTAGACAGTTTGGCTGTTGGGGAGATGAAACAAACCTTTTTCCTCTTCTCAGCCTCAATTCTCAATTCTCAACATCTCTCTTTTCTTTAAAAAGACAAATGGCCTTTTTGCTCTAGCATAAAAGAAGAGTTAGAAGGAATATAACTTCTTTACATAAATGTATACAATACTCCAATCAGCCCAAATGTGTATTGGAATGTATTGAAATACAGTTGATATTTATTTATTTTATTTATTTATTTATTTATTTGATTTGCCAATTGTTTACAAGATAATAAGTATAAATGTATACATAGTTGTGAATACACGAAATGGTCACATACAAGAAAAACAAAAGAATAGGAGAAACAATAGGACAGGGACGGTAGGCACGTTGGTGCACGTTGGTGCAACAAAAGCTTGTTGTCTCTCCATTCATTAGTTCAGTGTGGAGAGTTGTCTAGATTAGCCAGTCATTTTCAAAGGATATAGCAAACATCACCAAAACAGAAAAGATATTTCCTTGATGGTACTATTGAGGTCAAAAAGAAAGCTGCCTTAGCTTTTTACAGCTGTTTACAGGTGCCTCTTTTTTTCTTCAATAGTTCAGTCTATATTAGCACAAGGGGTCCAAGGAGCTGGTTATTTTCCAACTACTGATTTGACTGTCTTTTGCAATACCTTGTAAACCTTCCAAGTGTTCCAGAGAATTGCAAAGCAATATGTCAAAGGTGCACAAGGACATTGTGCAACGTGGCTTGCTTCTTTGCTTTCCTTGTTAAGATTAGCTGTAAAACTATTACTAAAAACTTCAAAAGAAAAAGAAACGGGCATTGTGCGGACTAGATATTTCTGATCTCCTGAATATAAACAAGTCTGGATCAAGTGACGGGTCCCCATGACACACTGCCACAGAAAGCGTTGGCACAACACTCTAAGGCAAATAATGAGGGGAGGGTTTGGCGCATTGCCAGAAAACATTGTAGTCTGGAGATTAAGCTTTAGGGTCTAGCAAATCATCAATCAAAATCCTTTACCAGATGTAGGTACATTTCAGCCAGAATATTACAAGGACAAAGGCAGTAGGATAATCGCACAAAAGAGAGGGGAAAGAGGAGGAACATCTAGTAATATCTGTAAATCATGACTGAGCAAACCATAGCTTAATATCTGGCCTATAACACATTTAATATCTGGCCTATAAGACAACCCACTCTAATTGGTTAATATGAATACACACCAATGCTTACATATGTCCTTAACCACAGCAAACTGCATGTGCAGTTTACCACGTTATACAAACACAGAATACTTTCCAGTACCAGGTAATACTAACCATGTCAATCTAAAATGATAGTTGCTATGCATTCACTTACATTTAGCTAAGACATGTGTATATGTATGTGTATTTCTAGAGTAGAACCTTGTCTATCACATTTATCTGTTGTTGTTTAAAGATGATTGACACTATTAATCAAACAAATTAAATCATAAATGCATTATATGTGACAAATTCACACAACATACTTTTATAAATGGTGATTAATTGGCTTGAAGTTCAGTGTCAGCCAGTCATTATATTTATTTTGCTATTAATTTTTCTTGGCCACTTCTCTATTTGAATAAATACTCTTTTTTCCTTGTAAGAAATCTTGTAGGTCACATGTTTTTGTTATTATGGGAAGTACTTCATGTGAACTTTTTCCTAGTTGGATCCATCTATGAAAAAGATGAGATGTTAATCCCGTGATTCAGTTTTAGGAACATCTAAACTTTAGCACTATTCACTGTTGTTTAGCTTAACTTTTAACACATTTTAAGAATTATTTATTGATGATTTCACTGTAGGTCAAAAGTAAAATTAAATGAGATACTTTGACACAGAAATGGAATGGTCTTCAACAGGTTTATTACTGTTTCTCCAAGTTAATAAAAAATCAAATCATTCTGAAATAAGAGGGATTTTAGAGTAATTATTGATGAAAGCAACCATGTCATTGAACATATGATTTGGCAAGTAAATGGGTG